GAGTATTTCATTGAGTTATATTTTTGCTTTATATGAGCTATTATTTGAGTATTATTTGAGTATTTTATTGAGTTATAAATTTGTTTTATCTGAGTTATTCTTTTGAATATTATCTAAGTTAATAAATTTATCTTTTGTTTATAAATTTTGTTAGTTATAACCTTTTCTTTGGGTGTCGCCATAGCAATAAGTTGCCAATATTTTATTTTATCTATAAACTATTTTCTTTAAGTGTCACCATAGCAATAAGTCGACAATATTTTATTTTATCTATAAACTATTTTCTTTGTAAGTGTCGCATTAGCAATAAGTCGATAATATTTCATCTTATTTATAAACTATTTTCTTTTATAAATTATATAAACATATTTTTTAACTACTTATATACTTAGTCAAGTAAGATAACTTGTTAACCAAAGGTCTAACTTGTTATATTACACTATCTTTAAAAGAAGCTACTTGTCTTTTCTCTTGAAGAGAAAATATAAGAAATAACTTAGTATTAAAAATAAGCTACTTCTATTAGCTACAATTAGTTTTTATATATAAAATTTAAATTTTTACTAAGTAAATTAATAAACATCAAGGGTGTGATAACTTAGTGTAGTTGGTAAGTTGTTGCACCTCCAAGTGGTAGAACAAGAGTTCAAATTAGAGATTATACTCAAGTCAGTTATTATTCGGGTTATTCACAGTTAACCGGATAACCAGATAATGATTAGAGTTACTCAGATAGATTTATTCAGGTAATATTCAGGTAGTTATACCCAGATAATACTTAGGTAAAAGATATCTAAGTGATTAATTAGAACTAATATGAAGACATCACCAAAAGAAACCAAATAATAAACTTTTATATACTATAATTTAAATTACCTATTATATGTTGCTAAACAGATTTCTCAATAGCTGCTTTGAAAAGATTTCACTTAGAAGTATGTATTATAAAAATAAAGAATTGAGAAAGTAATATAATCTTTAGTACTTAACTCTTATTATAAGTAATTATTATAAAAAGCTAAATTTCATATTTAATATGCAATACATAATAAAATAGGATGTATAAACTGTTAAAAAATCTTAACCCTAGTTAGCTGAAAATATTTCTTAATACACTACGCTTATTTTCTATCAGATTTAATGTATCACAACTTCTAATTTCACTTTAATCTTTTTATTTATATTGCAGTTGATATGAGTGCTAGAAAAGTACAACTAATGCTATCAAAATTACTTGAGTATGATGGGTAAAATTCTCTATCTGAGTATATCTGCTGATCACCTAGATAACTCATAGGTTCACTTGCTGGTTAACTGAGTAGCATTTTTTTTAACTAAGTACAATCACTAGTTTAAATCTTATTAGTGATGAAATTTGAATTTATAAAATATATTATAGTAAAACTATATAACATATCGATCAGATAAGCATTTGTAACTTTAGTCACACCAGCTTGTACTAGGAGGTTGTAAAATGTTAGTGTAATGTATAAGTTATACAAAACCCAAGTGAAGCAGTCAAATAAATCTAAGGAATTGGAAAATATAGAAGTCTGCTTGGAAAGTTCTATGTAGAGAGGTAGTATATATCTTTAATAGTGCTATATAAAAGATTATCATTTGAAGAATCAGACATTAGCAGTAAAACTGAATGAAGATCAAGTATTAGACAAGTATTATATCAACTAGGCTACCAGATTAATCAAAAGAAAAAGGTTTCATTCAGAATACCAGAGAATGCCCACTGGTTCCTCTTAGGCTATCTGAATTAGAAGTTTAGGTATTATTAGTTGGTATTGAAGTATTGTTGATAGTTCATAAAGTGTGTACTGGTGTTTGGATAAACTTTATAAAAGCACAAAATAAGTAACAATAGCAGAAATAAAAAGCTGCAAGTACTTGGTAGCAGCTTAAATATAAGTACCAAAAACTAAATAATACATATATAAGATATAGATCACTTTAGTAGTTTTATTATAAAGATAAAGTAGTTCTAATAGGCTTTAGTAGCAGTTCTTCTTTGAGAAGAATATCTAATACAGTTAAGGATTTTACTAAATTAGGAGTCGTCTAAAGTGGGGCAAATCACGTAACTCTATCCGTGATTGGTTGGAAAAACAACAATTATAATTGGCTAACAAACTAAATAATAAATACATAAATAAATAATATATATCGATATATGTAGCAAAAATTTAAATCACCTATAAAACAAAAAAATCAAATTATTTTAACTATATAAAAGCAATGAATATTATAACAATAATTTTATTTATTTACTAACAGCAAATCCATTACTTTGCAATAAGAAAACCACATATTTAAACAATAAAAATTACGTTTTTTAAATAATATAAATATGTACAAATCAGAATAGCTTATTTAATTTCTTAGATTAATAAATATTTTTTGGATATTGAAATTAATATATATAAAATTACAAGTAAATATTTATTAACTTTGATTAGCTTATTTTAAATACTTGAATTAATAGTTTATTATTTACCTAGAATACCGTAACATGAACAAAATGAAATTAGATAATAAATATTTGTGAATTGAATAGCTATTTTAAATCTATAGATTATAAATGTTTTATACTTACCAAAAATTAATGTATATGAAATAAAATTAAATAATTACTTAGATTAATAAATGTTCTTTATACTCAAACTAATTTATTGTGAACAAAATTAAATTTAAATGGTAAATATTCATGAAATTAAATAAATTAAATATCTTATTTTGAATTCTTGAATAGCTTATTTAAAATCCTTAGATCAATAAGTGTTCTTTATCTTCACCTCCTAAAATAACATGAATAAACCGAAATTAAATAGCAAATATTCATGAACTTAAATATACTTAGACTAATAAATATTCTTTAAATTCATCTCCTAAAGAAAAAATGAAAATTCATAAATTTGAAAAGCTTGATTTAAATTTTTATACCGACAAATATTTACACTCACCGAAATTAATGCATATAAAATGAAATTAAATAATATATATTCCTAAACTTGTATAGCTTATTTTAAATCCTTGGGCAATTAACATTTTTTAAACTAAATTACCCAAATAAAATAATAGTAAACATTCACATAAATTCGACAGCTTATTTAAATTCTTATATTAATAAATATTTTTACGCTTACTGAAAATAATGAAATTAAGTAGTAAAATTCATAAACTTGAATAGCTAATTTTAAATATGAAATATAATTTATTTCCATCTCCTAAAATAATATAAATAAAATGACATTAAATAATGAATATCTATGAATTTAAATAACTTATATTAAATACTTAGATTAACAAATATCCTTTATATGCGGCTTCTAAAATAAATAAATAAAATAATGATAATTATAAGCTTGAATAGCTTATTTTAAATTCTTAGATTAATACATATAAAATGAAAATAAATAGTAAAATACTGTATTTCTAAATTTGAATTAAGTCCTAGAATTAATGAACGTTTCTTATGCCTAAACTAAATTATCAAAATAAAATGAAATGAAATAGTGAATATTTATGAATTGAACAACTCATTTTTAAATTCTTAAATTATTAATACTGTATTTTTTATGCTTACCGAATTAATGTGCATAAAATGAAATTAAATGGTGGATGTTCATGAACCTTGGATAGCTAATTTAAATACTTGGATTATTAAACATTCTTTATATTCTCCTCCTAAAATAATTCAAATAAACAAAAATTAAATAGCTTATTTTAGATACTAAGATTAACAAATATTCTTCAATTTGCCTTCTAAAAAAAAATAAATAAATAAATAAAATGAAATTAAATAACGATATTCATGAATAGCTTACCATATTAACGCTCATGGGCATTATTTAGAGACATGCAATTTAAAGAGCTAATATTAATTTAGCTGAAAACTTTTAATAACAAAAATTATAATTCGCACTTGGCTAAATTAATTATTAGTTCTAGAATTGCATGTCTCTAAATGACACCCATGGGCATTAATTTGCGTAAATATAGTATTTTAAATTATCGTACAAACTCTTATGATCATAAATTTTTTTCTTCTTGTTATTTTTTGTACGTTATTATATAAGCACATAAATCATGATCATAATTGTACGATAACATCAATATTGGGTCATACCAGAGCAAATGATTGACTGAAACGTACCACTACGCAGCACATGTCATCCAATAATTTGCTCTGACAAAACAAATTTCATGATATTAATCGTTGCATAACTAATATCTTATACTTCTCAGATCAATAAATATTTTTTATACTCCCAAAATTAACGTGCATAAAATAAAATTAAACAGTCAAAAACTGTATTCCTAAACTTAAGTTAAATGAATTAATAAACGTTCCTTATACTCAACTAAATTATCAAAATATATGAAATTAAATGAATTTGAACAACTCATTTTAAATTCTATGCTTATCAAAATTAATGCGCATAAAGTGAATTAAGTAGTAAATGTTCATGAACTTGAATAGCTAATTTTAAATACTTGGATTAATAAATATTCTTTATATTCCCCTCCTAAAATAATTTAAATAAAATGAAATTAAATAGCTTATCTTAAACATTTAGATTAACAAATATCCCTTGCATTCACCTCCTAAAAATAAAATAAAGTCTTAGATTAATAAATAATTTTTAGATTAACTAAAATTAACGCATATAAATAAAATTAACCAGTAAATTAATAGCTTATTTTAAATTTTTAGATTAACCAATAGTAATATGAACTTTGAGTAGAATTCAAATCTATTGTTCAATAAAAAGCCTTTTAGCAGTTTTTAACATGCTGATTAATAAAAAATTTTTATAGTAAACACGACGAATCTAAATAAATATGATCCTTATACATATCCATCGACTAAAATTACACAAATAAAATGAAAAACTTGAAGCGAAAAAAGCAACAGTAGAAAAAAAAAAAAAAGAATAAAATATTTACCTTTGAACTCCCAGTAAAATGGTACTGATATTTGATAGAAAAGTAAAATTATTAATCAAAAATAAATAACAAAAATAAATAAAGATTTAACGGATCATAAAAAAAAAATTTAAAATTTAAGGAGAACAATTATATTTATTTAAGTCTTTATTAATATCAAAAAATCTTATCATTACAATTTTACATTTAATTAATTAAATTGTAAGATAATCGGATTTAAGGAAGCTTCTAACATAGAAATATAAGATTCGCCCTTTCAACATTACCTGTCTCTTCAACTCTTCAGTACCTATCACGTACTCTTTCAGTCAATTCAGCCACGGCTATTCTTCGATTTTTAGCACTTCTTTGTTGTTCACTCTGCATATATTCTATAAATGATTCCCGACTTACATATACATCAAACCCACTTTCTTCAAATGTTTCTTGGAACTTTTTCCATATTTCAGCAGTTAATAAGTTATAACTATATATGTGTTCATAAAAGATATGTTTACATGGCAGCAAATATCAATTGCGAAACAAGCAGTGACAATTGATAGAGGTCAAACCCAGCACACCTTTCCCTTTTTCAAGCCTATTCATTACAGCACAGGCCTCTTTGATAAGCAGATGTTGAAACAGGAGGGGAAACTTGTGAATTTCCTTGAGAATGTCGTTTTCAACACCATAAGCTGTCACTTTTTTAATATGAAAGTCAAAGGCAGCACTTTCAGACTCAGACCTTTTTTTACAATCAATATTAATGATGCTATGTACAGCACCTTAAAAAAAAAAAGCGAATGAAAGATATATTAAAAAAAAATAATAATATAAGATGGGTGCGGGGATGACGATTTTCTGCAAAAAACTTAAAAAAAAAAATAATAATAAATAAATAAAAAAAGAAAAAAAAAGAAAAGGAAAATTCCTTTCATATCACAGTCTCTTTTTTTCTGCAAAAAAAAACTCCACCCGCCCACCCCAGATCATTGTTAAAAAAAATTTTCAACCATTTTCTTAAAATTTTTTCTAATAAAAAAATTTTTAATGTTTTTTATTAAAAAATTAGCCCGCTTTCTATAGAAAAAGAAAATAATTCACAATCTAATTTTAAGATTCCGCTATATTCCATATAATACAGAAAAATATCATCACTGAATAGTGTAGACAAATAAACAAGAATAAAAAAAAAACTGATTCACCAATTAAACCATGAGACGACGAAGTTATTCTTTTTAATTCACTATGAAAAGATTCCAACGAGTTCATTGATGTAACCTGCAAAAGCAGGGGGGAGTGCTGGTGGGCTCACATGCCCTATTGGTGTGTATTTTTTGCATAGTTTCTTCTAATATAGTTTTGTAAAGCGGGAACTGAGCAATTAATAGCATCTTGGATAAGGCTTTCACAGCCAATTTTTGTTCTTTTGTGCATTGCTGCAATCATAATATCTCAGGTCTTTTTTTCATAGATTTTTTGCATCCAAGTTCTCATAACGTGAACTACACAAAGAATTATTTGACACTCCTGCTCACCGGCAATTACACTAGGAAAAGCTCGCCTAACACTCTTAGCCTCAATGCTACTTTGGTTTGAAAGTATATAACGAGAAGACCAATGTCAACACCTATTATGAATAATTAGCAATACCTCTGCAACTGTATCACTATCCTCACAGCTTACAAAAAAATGAGCTCCTACATTCCAACATCCAAGAGTGTCACAGATGTAAAGAGTAAACAGGCACCAATTGTACTGGTTGGTTTTGTGGATCGAATCTATCAGCATTAACCATTCATGACGTTCAAGTTTCTTAAGTTGCTCCGGATGCACGAACACAATACCTTTAGTGGACTGGTGGGATACCTGATAATTTTTAACAAAATATCCCTGATTTTCTAAATAAGATATTAATCCTGAAATGTCTAATGTCAGGTTCGAATTTCTAATAAGATGAGCTTCCATAGGCCCGTGAACCTTATATTTAATGTTTGTTACTTTTTTACAATTTAGATCATATACACTTGCATCAAGACCTAACTCAGTTGCTGCATATTCTTTGACAGCAGCTGTGATTGCTAGGGTGAATAATTTTTTATTGCTTCATTTTCAACTAGAGTCCTGACGGCCTTTGACCGTTTTAACCTATCATTTTCTTCTAAAGTATGTGTATAATCCGGGGAATTCTTATATCATTCTACTTGAACTACTTTTGAAGCAATTAACCAAGAAATGTTAATCTTTGCTTGACACAGACCGGAGGGTCTTGTTTTTGTTATCTGCCGTTTTTCATTTGGGATATTTTCTTGCTTCCGGGTACTTGAATTTCGGTGTTTCATAAAACGGCAAGCAAAAGTCTTTCAAATATCACTGTTCATATGCTTATACAAATCCTATTTGGTCTAAATATTTGAAATTAATAGCCACCAATTATCTTTAAATTCATCCATTAGAATTTCCAATGAACCTTTTACATTGTAGAGAAGGTTTCACTTTTCATCGGGTAAAAGACTCAAAGCTGGTGTGATAACTAAAGGAGCAACGTCCACAAAAGCCAAAGATACAGGCCTAAAATTTGAAGAGATAACAGACGTAATGTCTGAAGAAATAGCAGACGTACAAGATGTAAAAGTTTAAGACTTATGTTCCGGCAATTCAGTTTTCATAAAATATATTTACAAAATAAAAATCATACTCCAAAAAAAAAGGGGGGAAATTGCGCAAAAAAAAAAATTGCGCAAAAAAAAATACACAAAAAAAAAAAAAAAAAAATTGCAAAAAAAAAGTATAGAAGTACTTTATATTGTAAAGTTTGGTTGTCATACTAGGTCAGATATTAGTTCGCAAAGAAAAAAAAACCTATGAAAAAAACAAAAAAAAAACTACTTATAATTTCATTATAAGAAAAAAAAAAAGAAAAAACACGCCGTATTGTAAAGATCAAAAAAAAATTTTCTGCGATTAAAAAAATAATAAAAAAATGATATGCGATGATGTATGATAATGTAAAGCTGACAAATTGATCGACCAGCCAAAAATTCAAAGTTATCGTAACAAATCGACAAGCAAAGAATTCAAAGCAAACAAATTGAGTAACCAATCAAAAAGTTTATCATGACTGGTCAATTGTAGTCTCCATTATTGTTATGTGATTTGCCTCCGCTTTAGATGTCCCCTAAATTAGGAAATCACATTTTAGAATGATCTCTGTGTCATTCCGTGAATTTGATTGGCCGTATAACATTTTTTATCAGCATGGGATCATTTGATATTTTATTTTTTATTCAATATTAAATGATATACAATTAGCTAATATAAGAAGTCTACTTTAAATGATCCCACTTGATCCCTCGCAATAAGCCATTATAAGAAAGGCAAATGATAACAAACTTCTTTTCATTAATAAGTAAATTTTGTTGTAGTTAAATTTGATTGGTCAATTACACATGATTTTCGTACAACTAAATGATCTAGAATCATGTGATCAACATTTCTTTATCATACAAGGTGCAATCTATACTGTCTATATTTGGCAAAATCCCTAACTATAATAATACTAAGTTGATTAGAGGGTTTAATTAGACAATCCAAATAATAGTGAGTTATAGATATAACATCCAGTATAGAACCTAGCAATAGATAGACTACTTAAATTAAATGCTCAAAAGGCATAAATATAGCTAACATATATCTTCATTAATGTAACAAAGTCAGAAATAGGCTATGTGATTGCCCTAGTATTCAAACCAAAATTTAATAAAATGTGCCAAACTCCAAAGTGGTTACCTTAATATTAAAAAAAAAAATTTAATAAACATTACTTAATAAAAATTGTTTAAAAAGGTGTTAAATTTCTATTATATCTAAATCAACAAATCTATAAAGATTGTGGATACTCTATTGTGTCTTTAGAGCAAAAGCTAATCTATCTATACAAACCTTAACTATAACTTTAGCATTATATAGTTTATTAAGTCAACTGGTATCCTCTATTATTACAAGTATCAAACTTGAGCTATAGTATCTAAAGTGAATTAAATATTAATACAACTTATACAATTTAATTATTTTAGAAATTCAGGTGAGCTATAGCCATCCTGGTAGATTTAGATTGCAGATAATTTTAATATAAGCTCTGTTTAAGTCTCTAGTCTTAGTATCTTTTGGATATAGAATTTAAATAATATAATTTCTTTTTTGTAAAGAAGTTTAATTGAATTTTAATAAAGATAGAGGTATAACCTTACTTTTAAAGATTAAAAAAATATATTTTATTCTATAAGTTTTTATACAAATTAGAGAACTTTTTATTAATACATTTTTATATTTTATATTTAAATATAAAATAAAAAAAATATATTAATAAAGTTCTTCAATTTATATAAAACTTTTAAAATATGTATATTTTTATCTTTTGAACAACTTTTATTAAGTGATATTTATTAATTATTTAGGAAAATTTTAACTTTTATTATATATCTAAAACTACTTGCAGCTAATAAAAAATTTATAAAATTAATTTTATTCTGAAAATAAGCTACTTTCATAATTTTTAAGTTATTTTTTTGCTAAAAAAAAGTAGATTATTTTTCAAAAATATATAGTAATTAAAGTTTCAGAGTTTACTATATATTTTCTGAAATTATACAAAATTGCTAATTCTGATTAGCTAAATTATATGATATTTATATATAAATTATATAATATCATATATACAAAGTTGATTTATAATCTATTTTATATGAAATTAAAAATTTATATATTCTATCCTTAATATAAATAATTTCTTTATATTGTTAACTATTTTAAACAAAAAAGTTCTAATTTTTATTATTCATATTAAAATCTAATAGTTTTATTTGATATAATCATATTTATATGAAAATTATATTTAGTTATTAATAATATATAATAATACCTAATACTATAATAATCGCAAAGAAGATTTGAAAAAATAATATGCTATAATTTTTTTATATTTAAGAATAACTAAATTATTCTTTATTTTAGTTTAAACAAATACTACGTAATCTTATGAAAGTTATTATGTTCTGAAATATTCTGTAATAATTACAATTGATGCGGAATATTTGAAATTTTTTTTTTTTTTTTTTAATGTTAAGGTGACCACTTTGGGTCTGGCACGTTTTATTGAACTTTGATTCGAATGTCAGAGCAACAATGTAGTCTACTCCTGACTTTGTTATATTAACGAGGATACAACTAGCCATATGTATAACTTTTAGTTGTCTATTTAAGCAGTCTTGCATATATAACCCATATGAACTACACTAGATGCTATACTTATACTTCAGCTAAGGGGATTATCTATTTAAACTCTCTGATCAACTTAGCACTGTCAGATATTCTCCTTAAAGAGAGATTGCTGAGAAGGCCCTTTAGGACTTTAAAGTGGATACATACTTCCATATATGGGGCCCTTTATCCTCATGATAAACCTACTAGAGCAGTTCATATTTTACACATGTATTATCTAGATTTTAATAACTTATGCCTAAGCCATGGCTAAGTACTTGTGGCTTTTTACCTCTATTACCATTACCTACTCTGTGCTTTTGCAAAGTTCACCCAAACCCCAACACCTACTTTACGAACTATCAACAGTACTTTGATGCCAACCATTAGCACCCCAAACTTCCAATTCAGATAGTTCAAGAAAGATCAGTGGGCATCATCTGGTATTCTGAATGAATCCTTTTTCCTCCAGCTAATCTGGTGGCCTAATTGGTATAGTGCTTGCCAAATACTCGATCCTCATTCAGTTTGACTTTGGTGTCCGGTTTTCCAGATGATAATCCTTTACATAGTGCCATCAAAGATCTGTACTACCTCTCTACTTAGAACTTCCCAAGTGGGCTTCCATATTCCCTGATCCTTTAGATTTATTTGGCTGCTTCATCTGAGCTTTATATAACTCATACGTTATACTATGTTCTATAACCTTCTAATATGAGTTGGTGAGACTAAGGTTACAAATGCTAATCTGATCGATATATCATACAGTTTTATCATAACACATTTCCACAAATTCGAATTTCGTCACTGGTGGAATTCGAACTCTTGTTCTGCCACTTGGGGGTGCGACAACTTACTAACTACACTAAGTTGCCACACCCAATATATAAAATTTTTAATTACAAAATATTACTTAATATATTATGAAATATTATGTAATTTATTACAAAATATTTTGATGTGATTTGACCTAATTCGAATTTATTCGAAATATGCAAAATTTGCTACTTGACTAGACAGTATTAAAAAAATATTTATAAAATAATTGAAGTTAATTTAAAAAATATGAATCTATTCGAATTTATTAAATTTTAATTAAATAATTTTGAATTCATTTTTATTTAAATTAATTAAATATTTAAACTATAATAAATTAAAATATATTCGTATAGTATATTTTTCATTTTATTTCATTTATTCAAATTATTTTGAATTATACTGAATTTAATAACTAAAAACAATTTATTCAAATAAATAAATACTATAAATTTTATAGCTTAAACTATATTATTTTTTTATTTAAAAATTTTAAATATATACATATAATTAATTTTATGTTAAAGAAATATATAAAAAATAAAAGAAAAAACAACAATATTATTCATATATAAAAAAAACAAACAAAAAGAAAACTTTTACTCATTATTATCCGTATCTTTCTCATTATTATCTGTATCTTTTTCTAAATTATCATTGTCACCCAAGGATGAAGAACCAGAAGATATAGATTTAGAATTATTTACTTCTAGTTCATTTTTACCTTCTTTATCTTTATCTGAATCTATTTGCACTAATTCAGATATATTAAAATTATTTAGCAATTACGAAACGTAATAAATTATTTTGACTAATTTTAATAATCTTTTATTACTTACCAACTCTTGACCTTTTATTTGTCTAAAATAATTTATAAATATTAAATTATATTAAATTTTTTTTAATTATATTAAATTATCAAACTTTTCAGAATCCTTTGAATTATTTTTATGTTTTCTAATAGGTTTCTAATTAAATAAAAATTATTTATTATTTTGTAAATTATTTGTAATATTTATAAATTACTATTTTATTAAATTAAAATAATTTATACTTTTTTAATTTTATCTGAATCATATCTATTGGATTTATCTCTTTCTTCTGTGCTTGCTTCATCTTCAGATCTTGAAACGCAAATTTGCCGTCATGCTTTAATTTATTCTATATTTTGAAACAATTCAAATTAATTTAAATTAATTAAAATCTATGTATTATAAAATATTAATAAATACTTACTAAATTTCTTGCAATTAATTTTAACTACAGTATCTGACATAATTATTTTTCTTATTTTGGATTAAACATTGTTTGACTTATAGCTATAGCATATGCTATATTTTTAGGTGAAGTATCTCTAGAAAACTAAATTTTATATAAAATCCAAGTCATATAAGTCTCATCTGAATCTCTAATCTCATCAAAAAGCATCTTGTAGCATGCTTTAGTTTTTTGTGATCTTTTCCAGTTTAGTACAGTTTCTAGTGAAGCTTTATTATTTATAGGTTCTAAAAGATTACCAAATACAAAAAATATAGATGCTTTAATTTTATTCATTAGTATACCTC